GCAAGCGCCCTTGCGCATCCTCGAAGGGGCTCAGTGTGCTAGAGTTGCGTGCCGGAGGCGGGCCACCATTGGCGGCCGGAGGGGGACCGGTGGAAGTCATACTCGCAGGTCGGTGCGGCAGGTTTACTTGAGAACCAGGAGCTGGGCCGCCATTCGGAACACCCATGGCCGAGCCCGGTCTAGCGTCAGCCGCCGGGGCCGAGAGCGTCGAAAGGCTGGACCCTTGGGCAGGCGGGACGAGTGAGGGACGGCTTGATGATGCTTGCCCGGCCCGCGCGGGTGTGGTGAGGTTTGTTGACAGGTTTACGATCAGCTTGCCGTGCACAACTAAGTTATCGGTCGACTTCTTGAGGTCTCGCGTGAGCATTTGATCTGTGGGGCGCCGCATTTGTCAGTCAAGTCTGGCGACAACGCGAGCAGGAATGCGGCAAAAGAGTGTTACCATCAGCGTCCGGTGCCAGCTCAATCACATCGCCAATCCTAACGTTGATTACGCCAAGGAAACCTTGGTCCTTCTTCTTGAACTTCTTCTGGTCAAATACCTGAACCGCGAGAATGGTGTCTTCGTTCACGTTGCTAAATGATGTCAGAGGGAGGTTTTCGCCGCGATGAACATTTTGAGGACTACAACATACAGGTCGAAGCTCTCGTTCCAGTATGGGTTCAAAGTTCGTTTCTGTGCACTCGTAGTCTTGGTCTGGTCTCCGTTGACGGTGATGACGGCGAAGGGATCCGGAAACCCTGTTTTTCATGTTAATGGTTTGTTCCAACGAAACGGAAGAGGGTGAGGGCGTACGGAAGACATCTCGCTTGTACAAGCCATCGGCGGCGATGACTGCGTTGAAGTTAGTATTGATGGTCGTTGCGCGGAGGATCAACTTGGGGACGACGAACTCGTTACTCGGAGGTTGGGCTTGCGGCTACAGACAGCAGAGTTAGCTCCCGTGATTTGTTCAGTGTTGGTGACGTCCAGATGGCAGCGTCCACGGACTGATGGAAAGAGACCAGATGCGTTACTTACTTGGGCTGCCCGGCATCATTGCGGGAGGAACTCATTTCGTCGCGGGATAGCCAGCGACAACGGTGTCGACTCCCAAAATATCTGGCGTGCTCAGATCAAGGTCGTTCGTTCTTGGAACAGATGAGGGGTTAGGCGGACGTTTCGTGGATGACGTTTGGAAAGTGACCGGTCGCGGCGATATGGCGGAAAAGATTGTCGACGACAATCGGGACCGGAATACAGCAAAGGATGCTTTTGCTGGTGAGAGGTAGCGTAGTGCGGATTGGCGTTGACGACGACGACGACAAGGACGACGGCGTAAGGCAGAGCTGAGGCTGTGCAGTGCTGTGCAGTGCAGAAAAGCCCCCCGCTTCAACGAGCCAAGTGGGCTGGGTTTTTGGGGGCCTTGGAGTTCCCTTCGGGGGTGCGGCGGATGATAAGGTGACGCGGCGGGCGGGAAGACCGAGCGAGGCTAAGAAAGCAGCGGAGGAACAGTAAGGATACTGGCGAGATCGAATCGAACCAGCGATGCAGTAGACTTTGTTGGCCGTCTCTGTATCAATCTATCTCCGGAGGGCGACAAAAGGTCGACCGGTGGGATTCGATGGGAGGGAGTTTGAAGGTTGGAAGAGACAGGATGGAGCGAATTTGGTGTTTTGGCAAGGTAAGTCAGCCAGTCGCCCCCGTCTGAGCGCTTGTCAAACGGTACGGAGTACGTGTGTGCGAGTGGATTTTGTCTCCGGTCGGAAGTTCGCAGCAGAGGAAAGAAGGTTGTTAGGCGTGATGCGGGAGGTGAGGTATGCGGTGGGTAGGAGGAAGTGTCAGGTTCAGCGCTATCTGACTCTGAGAGGTGCTCTAGTATGCGGCGTGCGGCGTGCGATGAGCCTGTGCTTCCATCAGCTTTCACCCTTGATGACCTCAGCAGGGTGGCAGACGGGAGCAGTGATTACGGCACCTGCAGCAGGGCTAACAGCGACGCAGCTGTAGTGGCAGGGCAGTGATGTCCACTGTATCCGTAGGTAAGGCAGGTCAATAGGTACCTTAAGGTAAGCTGGCGTGGCTGGTAAGGTCAGATACTGATGGTGAGCATAGGATGAGGTGAGTGTCCTGGACGATTCCCAGCTCGGTTCGACATGGAGAGCCAAGGAACCTGGAAGTGCGGATGGCGAATCCCACTTGTTAGCACTTGGCGGGGCCCAGAGGTCACTGTGGGGTACCACGGAAAGCGGGCAAAACCTCTCGGCGGTGGTCGGGTTGTATCCACAATTCGAGACCCACCTCAACTCACTCCTGGTGAGCACCTCGAGAGAAGTGTAAGTATTCTTCACCCATGAACCTCACCAAGATCAACTGCATCTCATAAGAAGTCGATTGCGCTTCAATAACTCGTAGACATCCCATGGCTTTGGTGATGCCATGGCATTTCTTGGGAAGATGTGTCAGCAGATTCTGACCGGAGGGCTGTCTGACAAAATGAAACGACAGATGAATGTGAGATACAAGTGTACATGACGTCTCAGCTCAGACTGATTGACGATGGACATACCTTAGTTAAGCGCTCCATCTCTCGACTTATCTTGCTTACCACAGCAGCTTTGCCATGACATCTGGAAGTTGCGAACAGCTCTATCTCCTTCGTGAGACATGTATCGTCGGTATAGTGACAACGTTCTCCATCTGTCCGTATATCATACATTGTCTCATTCGCCACTCTTCTATCCTGTCTTCTTACCAGGTATATACAGCATCCAGCTTGAGCTACAGTTCGGGACTGGAATATGGATGTGAAGCAAGTACCTCACCTTAACTCTCTTGCAAGTACCTCGCCAAGAACAACGAATGGCAACGCAGAGAGGAGAAATGGAAATCAAAACAAACCAGAACCGAGTGACAGGGCCTCCAGCTTTTCCTAGATTTCTAAACGCTGTTCCCAATGGTGTTTCGGATGCCCATGGCCGTCAGAAAGCTGCCAATCCCACGCGCCCCCTGCCTGCCTTTTGCCTGTACCTGCGGTGCTGCGGTGCCCTGACTGACTGGCATGGCCAAGTCTTTTCACCCTTGCCCCGTACTTTACCCAGTCGAGTCCCGTCGAGCTGGGGGCTCGAGAGAGTCGAGAGAACGACCTAACAACCTGCCGCTCGGTACGGATCCCTGCCGACCTCACCTGTACCCTGACCCGCGCCGCCGTGCTAACAGTTGGGACTGAGGGAGGGAGGGAAGGGGTGCCCGAAAGGCTTGGGAGGCCCCTCAGTTCGGGCCGTAGACACTGCCAGACACAGCAGACAGAGAGTCTAGAACCTGACCAAGCGATTGTATGAGCAGATGCCACTCTTTACATAATCTCTCGTGGCGATTTTGAAATCAGTATCATCAACAAGAAGTTTCTGCTCTTGTTTCTTCGCCTTCGAGTTTTCCCACGGATAGGAGAATGTTTGAATTCGTAATCTGTATTTCTCATTGTCTGCTCTCGAAAGGAACTTTTCTCGAGAGTCTCTCGCTAGAAGCACGAACCTACCGGGACGCGAGAAAGCAGAAACGGCGCATTGTTGCTCGTCCCATCCCACCACCAACCCCCGGCTCCCCGAACCTCATGCGCTACGGCCACCCTCTCTTTCTCACCTCTCTGTGTCTTCCGTCTCTCTATCTCTATCTCTCGCTTCTTGCCTGTGTCTCTCCATCATACAGTAACCTACTCATTCAAGATCCTCTCAAGCATAATAGCTCAATTCATCAGCGCCATCTTCCCTAATGCTGGCTTTCCGAGGATTGCCTCAAGCTGGAGGGGGCATATTCGTTAGTGCCCCGGCACGTCCAGTCCGTTCCCCCCCTCATCCCTCCCGACGGTCCAACCGTCACATCCATCCACATCCCTTCTTTTTGCTTCGGCGCGAAAGCACAGTGAACAAGAAGCGGCATAGGGTATACCATAAATAAACAAGAGACCAGCCCAAACACAGTCGTCTGCCCAAAAGTTCCCATCCAATCACCTCCCGCCTATGTCCCAATTCTTTTCCTTTGGGAAAGGACAAAAACAAGGGGAGGGGGGACCTTGCAATCCAATCGCTGCCGCGGGACCATGGGGGAATATACTGGGCAGAGAGAGAGGTAGAGAAGGGATCTCACGGCATCGCAACCGACAGAGTCCAGCAAGCACGTGCCACAGAGACGCTTCGCTTTCTGCTGATTCCCACAACCAATCTTTTGTGCGGGGAGAACACCCTCTTGCCCTTCCTCTTCCAGGGCAGTCTTGCGTGTGTCTTCATGGACAGGTTAATTCCCAATGTTCGATTGAGGCCCCCTCGAAACCCACTGGGGACAGCCACTTCCGTGTGTCAGCTCGCGCGGGAGGGAGGGATGGATGCTTAGGAGCCCGTCCTGAGGCGGGCAACTGTGCGCCCGGGTCGGGCGGCGTCGTGGGTCACCTGCGGAAGGACGGCACCACTAGGCTTGTCCGCCCGTCTCGTCTTGTTGATGTTCCGGCTCCATGGTTTTCACATGACTTGTCACTTGGCAGTCGGTATTCATGACGTATAGGTTTCTCCTCCTATACAGGAGAGTTTGGACATCGTGATCCTACACATGTTCATGTTCAATTGAATGCCGGTTGCTCGGCCTTTGGGTTTTAAAGAAACATTGTAGAGCGACTGTTGGCAAAGGCGTCATCTCATTCCGGGCATTTCCCAGCAGAAGCTATATTAAGTGGTCAGAACATGCTAGGATAAACTCAAAGAGACAGGTACGTTTCGTAGTTCACTTGAATGTTATGCGAAGAGCTATCTGGGGGGAAAGAGCGTTCCTCAGCACCTGTGATAGTTTCAGAAAGGATTTCGTTTTTTTTCTCCCACAGATGTACGATGATAAACCCACGCGCTCTGTAGACTTAATGAAGGAAAGACATTGTCAGGATTTCTCGAATCAAGGACCAGAACCTGGAGCAATTTCGACCCAAAGAAGTCGAAGAACAGGAACGTACGTCTCTACTTCTACAGCAGCGTAGTCCATGTATCTACACAGACACATCTCTCTCCTCACTGATACATCACAGCGTCCCAACACCCGGTTCCGATTAACTGCGGTGGATATATGTGCCTTTTCACGAAGTCCGGCCCAGCATGTGATATCTGCTGGCCCAGATCGCAATGAGTCTCTTGGTTGGCGTCATGTTCCTGTTCATCACATTCGGCCACCGCTGCCTGTAACAACCAAATCACGCATCGATCTACAAACTGTCATTCCACGGGTGTTCCTCTTTGTCCAAAATTGTACTCTGAGATGCGGTGATTCATCCATCGAAATTGAAATACTCGTCGACTGAATGTAAAAGCCTGACCAATCCCTGAACGCCATATCGAATCTTTCTCCTTTCCCTACCGTCCTGTATGTTACAATCGAAGCAATGAATCGCGTCGCACCCTCTCATCCGGGCTACTAGACATAAGCGAGTCCTCGGGAGGCGTCACTCTGCCTAATGCCTAATAAGGGGTGTATCCTCCTCTGCCCCGGCCGCGGTAGCCTCCACGGTAGCCACCGCGAGGCGGGAAACCGCCACGGCCGCCAAAGCCGCCGCGACCTCCTCTCCCGCCGCCACGACCGCGGCCGCGAGACATGCCGGGGATATTGGTGCGCTTGGGGACGACCTTGAGGTTGCGGCCCTTGAAGACGCTCTCGTTGAGGACCAGGGCCTGGGCAACGAGGCTGGGCTCGGTGAACTCGACGTAGGCATATCTGTAGTGCAAAGCGCATGTTAGTCTCTGAGCCATTTTTCGGGCGCGTTTCTCGGGTGGGCTTCCGTAACGTACCCCTTGGGCTGTCCAGTGAACTTGTCCAACAAAATGGTGACGCGGTTGATAGAGCCACAGCTCTGGAAGTGAGCTTGAATCTCCTCGGGTGAGGCAGAGTAGTCGACATTGCCGACAAAGATACTGCGGCTGTCGATATCCTCCTTGTTCTCTGAAAGTTCCCGGCTCTGTTGGTCGAGGCTGGCTTGCATTTCGCGCAACTTGGCGGCCTCCTCTTCCATCTCGGCTACCCGCCTCTTCATCGCAGAGATCTCCTCCTACGGTCTTCTGTCAGTTTAACCTCCTCTTATCTGCGAAAGCCAGTGATGAATCTAGGCTCTTTGCGCACCTCATCGTGGCCATCTTCCTCGCCGACGCTGTTGTTCTCGACGTTGTGGTCCTCCACAGGGGTATCCTCGGGCTTGACGTCCGCCATGGCTATAAGATTGGGCAGTCGTTGTTGGTTCTGTGACGGCTCTGGATAGGATAGGCTATTAGCTATCGATGCTAGAAGAGAGAAGGGAGAAATGGTGCGACAAGGCAGACGCGCCCTTTTTTAAGGCGACCGCAGCCTCGGGAGGGGTCCGCTCGCTCAAAGCTGTTCGCGCACACAAAGAGTTTTAGTTGGGGCGGGAAATACTCACAGCTGTAACGACCGCAATTGACAAGCTCAGATCCTGAGCTGATTTGATGCAGCAGCTTGCGCAAGGGCTGGACGAGACAGGAGCTGAAGATTGAGGTAGACGTAGTGAAGGTATCCAGGAATTCTGATGCCAATGGGTAGGGGGAAAATCCACGGTTTAGCCGGACGCTCCGATAAGAGATAAGAGCTCCGACCTCAAGCTTTCGTCAACAGACTCGGAGCTACAAACGCATGCCCGGTTCCTTCAAACGATTGAGGAATGCTTTGCAGATGTTGCAAACTCAAAGATGAAGGCAAACTTCTAGTTTCTGCTTCAAAGTGCCTAAGGTGACGTAGGAAGGTACAACGGGCGAGCAAAGTCATGACCGGTCAACCCGGGAAAGCACCTTGTCTAGCGGGATTCCGGAGCTACCTAGCTGTGCCCGCCGCTGGCCACGTAGATACCTTCCAAGATTCTTTCCTCTGGAGTAAGATACGGATATTGATAGTTCCACGTACATGAAGGGCAGCCTTTTATACTTTTTGGTGACAGTTCTAATCAAGACAGATTTGATCCGTGAGGTACTCTACTCATAGGCACACCTCGCGCTGGTCTCATCCGAAGGCTCCATTCCAGCCTACTCTTGATGTCGTGGTCTGGGACATCCGGCGGATGACTTTGGGAAACGAGACATTCTGGTGAGTGTTGCCCGTCGATGGATTCTTGATCGACCAGCGAAACAAAGGAACGTATCCAACCCGTGAATCTTTCCCTCTTTCCTCATCTTTACCTTATTACCCTTACCACCCGGTGAACTCTTTACCTGGGCAAGACCTCAATCGATTTTTGGCACTGACTTCAATAGCTTTTGCTTGATCGATTCAATGGTCTCAAGACTAAGCAGGTATCGCGTCGAACCCTGGCCATGTTACATTGGAAATTTCCACCTGTGCTGTCATAGCGGGGGCAGTCATTGTTTTCATACTATTCAAGCAGCGCAGAACATTGGGTACATGTCGGATGGTACCCCTTGAGTCCTGACACAATTTACCAAGCCGATCTCAATCGTCAGCAACATGGCGCCGGACCTCCCCAGTCTCCGGATTGCTCATCCATCCGTGATCCACCCGGATCCGAGTCCGAAATCATTGCGGAAGCACCAGAATGCCCGCACATGGTGAATCTGGTACGTCTCACTCCAGCCCAGTATTGAAATGCTCTTGGAAGTTGTCGTCCCATACTAAATGAGGTGGTGTAGCGTCTTAGTCAGCAGCCCCAAGTACAGGATTGCGGCACCCGCGCCTCGTGCGCTTGTCGTCGAATGCCCACGTGTGACGTCGCTGAAGGTGCACTGCGTCAGCACCGCATCGCCGGGTTGCCGGCTATCCTCCTTGGCCCCGGATTTTGTTTTTGTGTTTCTGTTATCTTTTTCCTCGCCCGCGCTCCATCCCGCTTCACCGCGCGAAGGGGAAGGATCTGCTTGCCCGGATAGGCTGCGACATCGCGATCGTTGTGCGCGCTCGCTGCGCAGTATACTTCGTATTACCACGGCCAGCCAAAGACCCTTGCTTTCCTGTCGTATCCTGAATGGGTGGGACCTTTTTCTCAATCAGAAACCATGGCGTCCGACGATGAGTCGATCCGGCCTCTGCTGTGGTCCTTCTCCGGGTTCCGCGAGAACAGACGGCCGGCGCCGATCAGGCGACAGCTGAGCCAGTCACGGACCAGCCTCCAAGATGTGCTCGCATCTCGGAAGAAACACTATGCCGTGCTGGCCCTCGTATCACTGGATGTCGCCGCGCTCATGGCCAACATCTTTGTCGAGCTCGTCGCCTGCGATATGAAGCGGGAAGACGAGCCGTGGGTCAAGAACACGCGCGAAGGTCTCACCATTGCGGGCCTCGTGTTTAGCTCTCTGTTCTTGATCGAACTCGTATTGTGCGTTATTGCATTTGGATGGAGGTGAGATGAACCCCCAAGAGCACGCAGTACAGAAGCCATCACTTACTCAGACCGTAATAGGTATTTTGCAGAGTGGTTTCATCTGCTCGATGGCATCGTCATCGTGGCAAGCTTTGTTATCGACGTGCTCTCGCACGGCATCGTGGAAGAGATTGCTTCCCTCGTCATTGTGTTCCGTCTCTTCAGATTTGTCAAAGTGGTCGAGGAGATGAGCATGGGGGCCGCGGAGAGGATGGAGGGACTCGAGGAGCAGCTGGCGGCTCTAAGGAGAGAGAATGGAGAGATGAAGAGACAGTTGGCACGACGATGATTTGGAGGCATGTTTCTGGCATTCTGGCATTACGGCATTGGTGGCAGCGCTTTCATGTGATGATCGATACCCTTGGGGAACATACTAATGATAATGAACGATCTGGCACATGAGGAGTGCGTTTTGCAAGTACCCTAGTCTGAAGGTGTTAGGTACTGTTTCTCTGAATGGGCCAACTTTGTCTGACCGAATAAGATATTCTTTTGTCAAGATGACGCTACTGCAACCCAAAAGTAATGGGGGAGCATGCAAAACACACTGCTGATCTATATACTTCAAATGCCACGACCCGAAGCATGCGCAATCACTGGGCGACGAAGACGCCGGTGGCTTTTGCTAGAGGTAGAAAAGAGCTTGTTTGACGGGTCCGGGGTAGCTGCCGTCAGTTGTTGCTTGACCAACCGCGGACTAGTCAACAACTGTGATCGGCTTGGGCTTCAGATCAACGTTTCGATCTATGGATCGAGGTTGGACCGTTGGGCTGCGGGCATGATGGTGACGGCCGGACTTTCGGGGGCAGACGCGGTGGGGGGATGTGGTACGTTGGCCGGCAGAGAACCTCCGCGATGCAACGCCAGCCGCCCCAAATACTACTGCAGCTCGTATTGCTCCTCTTACTGCAGATACTATGCAGTCGCCAGCGAGGAGGTAGCCATTGGGCTATGTGAGACAACTTTACGATATTCGCCTCCTCAACGTCCCGCCACGCTCCGTGTTCGAGGTGCATCAGCGGATACCCCGAACACAAGAACGAGAATAGCATCAGGCAAACGCGCCAATGTAGCGCCAGTGGGCAAAAGACGTTGGATACGAACGTCGGAAAGGGCGAGATCGCAAGAAAAGTGGCTGTACTCGCCCCATTCAGCCCCGATAAAAGAACATCAGTATATTGAAGTATGAAATGGCATAGGCTGATAAGCTGTTTATAGTCATGTATCCTGACGCGCAAAAGACAATTACGGCGTTTGGACCAGCGACGAAAAATGCAACACAAAAGCACAACACGGACACAGCAACAAGGGACGGGACCCAATAAAACTCGAGCCAAGAACAAAGCAGCGGCCAGTCAAAGAGCCACGCTTGTTGTGCCATGATATCGGGAAATAGGCATATCAAAATCTTGACTGGCGAGCCACAATACCGGTCAACGGGTAAACCGCTACATATGCAGCAAGAAGAGGTCAAAGCCTTTGCAGGAAAAACAACAGACGACAGCTGCGCCGTTCGTGTTTAGATCAGATGCTTCGAGACCGGCTGCAGTCAGCCGCAATTCCCATGGCCTTTCCTCTGTCTTGAATAGTTGAATGGTGTTCATTGCCACATGAGATCTACGGATACGGATCATGACTTTTTCCCAACACGCAACTACGCATACGGATACCACCAGGAAACGGCACTTGCGCTTGTGGTGCAACGCATCCTTTGAGGTTCGCACGCCCTACCCTTGCTTCCTTACGGCAGAACGGGCCAAGGGGGTAAGAAAAACAACGGCCCCAGAAAGAGGGATCATTGTCCAATCAACAGCCCTTCAAATCGACTGCCCCCCTTGTCCACGAACAAGATTAGACTTCATCTCGACGTCCGGGCCCCATGTTCGCGCCTCCGTCGTTCGAACCTCGCTCCGTTTGACTTACTCCCGTTTTTCCTTCAATCGATCGTACCACCTTCTTTCTCGGCAGCGCTGCACAATATATTGGAATGTAGCATAGCTGCCGAACCAGACACGGGAAGGCAATATGTTCTGCATCCTGGTCCGCCACAGAGGGGAGCACGGCACGGCAACTAGAAACCCAGCCCTCAAGTGAGACTGGTCTCTACGGATACTGCCCAGAGAGAAAGAAAGGGGGTATCAGCCGAGGGGACGGCCAGCCGCGTACGGGTAGTTCCAGCCTCTTCAGCCCTGATGGCCCGGTCGTTTCTTCACCAACAATTTCGAAGCATTCCTCCAAATTGTCAATGAAAATCCCCATCCTCCAGAAACGCCCACGGCCTCGAGCTAGGAGGCTGGAGAAACACACAAGGCGCGCGTGCGCTGCACAGCATTTTCCACACCATATTCTTACAAACGGTTGCCCCCTTCCCTTTCGTCCTTGCTTGATGCTAGCAATTGGACGGGGATTGGGGTTGGGTAGTTTCTACAGCCGAAAGTGGGAAGATTTAGGCGGGGATTGGCAGGGACACCAGGGTTACAGGGACTTTTCTTTCAAGGTAAGAAGTCTCGTCCTCCTGATCCTCTCTGCCTCTCTCTTTGCAGGCCGGGGCTTGACGCCATCACCATATTCACAGTGTCGGTCTCCAATACCCACTCCCCTTTTGCTGCTGGCGCCGCTGCAGAGGGCGGATATTGTTTCCTTTTCTCCTCACCCTCTCTACTTTCCCACTGCCGCTGCTACCTCACTGTCACACGCATATCGGATACATAGAAGGAATACGGGGGCCCTAGCAGAGTAGCCTCATCAATCTCCATCAGTCAAGCAAGAATCCCCGAACCACCAAACCCCTGGAGATGCGGCTTGATGGGGGCCCGCTCCCCCCTTCCATCCTATCTGTCCCTCCACTTTGTTGGCTCCTCTGCCTGGAGCAGAAGAGAAAATGCCTGACGGGCCTATCACATATTCGAATTCGCTAGCGTCGCGCGCCACTGCTTTTGCCCTCCTTGGCCTAGTCGAGGGGGTGCGTGGAGTTGCTTCTCCTCGATCCTGATGCTAGTTCACTTTCCCACCCCCAGCCAGCGGGTGCTCCCCCCCCCCCCCAGAAAGATCATAAAAGTCCGGATACAACGTTTTGTGATGAAATTGCTGCTGTTCCCTAATTTGCTTAATATACTCCATCTGCCAGCCCTTCGCTCTCTCTTCTCTTTTCCTTTCCCTCCTCCTCCCCTTCCGTAATAAGCCTCCGCCAACCCACTGTTCATCAAAAACAGCTTATTTCGTCTTCGACAAACCTAATTCTCCTCGGTTCGTCCAGTCACTCGCTAAAGTCTTTGAGACTCTTTACATTCGTTGGAACCACCATACAACCGTCGTTCTCGATAACCAATACAACCCCGTAATAATCGACTTGACCGTCAAAAAAACTTTCCACACACCCAAAATGAAGTTCTTCTACCCTCTCGCTCTGGCCCTCGCTGCCGTTGTTGCCGCCGCCGATGATGACTGCGACGCCGCTCCCATCGTCGAGGCCTGCCTGACCAGCGAGAATGCAAAGGTAAATAGAACCCACAGATCCTCTGAACAACCTAAACAACAACCGACAACTAACACTACGTGCTCTTTAGGTCAAGGACTGCAACGCCACCGACTACGACTGCCTTTGCGCCGCCTACCAGGCCGTCGCCACCTGCTACAACAACTGCCCCAAGGACTCCCGCGCCGCGCCCGCCCAGGGCCAGGTGACAATCTACTGCCAGCAGGCCTCCCTCTACGGCTCCGCCGCCATGCGCAAGACCCAGTCCGTCGTCTCGGCCACCGGCTCCGCCTCCGCTGCCGTCGCTTCCAACTCGGCCTCCGCTACCGCCGCCGCCACCGGCACCAGCGCCTCTGGCAGCTCCGCCTCTGCCACCGCCTCGGCCAGCTCCAGCTCCAGCTCCGCCAACATTGGCGTCGGCCAGCTCGCCCGCAACACTGGCGGCGTTCTCCTCGCCGTTGCCGGTGTCGTTGCCGCTGTCCTCTAAACGAACGACATAAATATCTTTTGCAAGATAATGCACATAATCTTCCCTCCTCCCAAAATTCCATCTAGGAAAAGGGGTGTGGGGGAACCAAGATACCAAAACATCATGTCATTTAAAGCGATTATGTTTACGGTGCTCAAGAGATTTCTGGCAATGTTTTTTTGTCAAAGACTTGCAGGACAGGATAGGACCTGATTTAACGGAGCATATGTGGCACACCCAAGCGAGAATTTGGGGCCAAGGAAACGGGGGACCGGCGAAAGAAAAACCAAACCACCATTTGTATATGCTTAATCTTTGTAATTACCTAATTCCAATCCAGCCCTTCATGAAGTTCACTTTTCATGGACGAGAGAGAGAGAGAATCAGGTTCAACAGGAAAGAAAGAGAGACAGCATGTGCTATCAAGATCCCGTTGTTGATACTCGTGAAGTCATTCAACGTTTGTCTCCAACTTTTCACTCTGCTGCTGCTGCTGGCGCCTGAAAAGGGACTCAACACGAACCAAGTACCTTATGCAACTGACATTCGGATTTGGTGACTATGCAGTAGCCCAAGTTACACAGCATTACACGAAGAAAAAGAATGAAGAAAATACAAAGTGAAATCCACGGAAACCATTTCTTAAATGTCTTCAAGAGACCCCCAGCTCTCCAGGTTGACACACATGCGTTGTTGCATCGTACAATACAACAACGAGAGAGCCAGAAACGAAACAAAATATCGCAGAAACCGGGTAGTTGACTCGGCGACAATGCAAACCAATCCCACGCCCCCTTCCAAATTTTGATGTTTGTTTGAAACATTTCTGAACCTACCTTGCCTTAGCGGCGCGGGCCAACGACACCACTCTACCCTACATGCATTCCCCAGCATCTCGCGCGCATGCACGTATCCGCAACGCATGCTTTTCAGTTGTTATTCTATTTTCCTGTTGTTATTGCTCCCAAAGCAAGGAACGTACCTGCTCAAATGCCTCGAGTGTCTCAGACTCGTCAGTCCGCCCGACTTTCCTAGGTAATGCTGACTGCCCAGACCAGTGTGATCCCGACGGAATGCACGCAGGGTACACCTCTCCGCCAGCAGTCGAGGACGGTGTCGCAGATATACAGAAAACGGAACAAGACTTGGTTTTGATAAACAACATTGCGGGTAAGGCAAAAAGGCCCTGTAGATTGTTTCGCAGCGTTCAATCTCGAACCTCGAACCTAGCTATCCGTAGAGACGTCACAGTAGACCACCCGAACCTTACGGCAGTTAGTTCTCCGGACCATCTTGTCTGCTACATATGATCTCCCTTTCTCGGCGCAATGTGCGCGAGTTTCGACAAGTTTGAAGTCGGTGGAGCGTACCCATTTCGCCGATGATCTTTACCAAGTAACCTGACTAGACCCCCTCCTTCAATGAATGCCTGCCAAGTGTGAATCTCGGCGCCAAGAATGCAGTCTTTTGAAGAAGACTATCAACATCATCAAAAGTCACGTGAAACTTGCGTGGGATGGTTCAAGATTGGTTGCTCAATGTGAGCTCGTTATCGTCATTGTTTTCATCAAGCCTTCTTCTCCAACCGCTATGATACAACACGAGTGTCCTCGAATCCTACAGCTGGCTCATAAGCGTTTGTGTCCCTCCTTTGGGAGACCATCTCCCTCTTTCTCAAGTGTCGTTGCAGGCCTCGGTCCCCTACCTCCAGGAGGACTTTGGTCCAAGGCAGTGAAGTTGTAACAGTATAAAGTCTACAAGCAAATGAAGCAAGAAATAAACAGTACGCAAAAGGCAGACGCTTCCCAACAACCGTGACGCCCGGTTCATATCTCTAACAAGTGACGTTATCATCTCCGGCCACACACGCCACCGCAGCCTGCTTTTTTTGCCTGTCCTATTTGACCCCTGGTTGCGCAGAGTCGTGTGAATAAAGAGGATAATACTAAGAGGGGAAAGAACTTTCGTCGACTAAAAAGGAGTATGTATGCGCAAAAAAGGTCTTGGTCGCCGAAGAAAGCAGTGAAAAGGGGGGTTGGCGGCAAGTTAGGTGTTGCCTCGGGAAGAGATCTTGTTGCAAAAAAACAGGAGAGCATTTATCAGACTCGAGAGAGTGCCGAAAACGCCCTAAACTTTTCGGGCTCGCTTCGCGCTGTCGTGGACAGGGCTAACGAAAGTGACATGCTTGTTCTCATCCTTCTTGAGACGCATCGCAGTACCGGAACCGACTCCGCTAGACTCCCTGTGATGACCAAGAGGGCGTCCATCGTGATCCTCATCAAGTGTGATCTCAGCAACGTCAGACACCGACTCGGCATCCATGCGGTCACTGACACCTGATTCGGACGACCCGTCATCGGAGTCATCATATTCGCCATCGTCGCTGACAAGCGAAGGTGCGTTGTTGCTGACCATTGTGCTGGGGCTGAGGTCAACGTCCTCCATGTCAACATCCTCACCAGAGTGTATTACTACCCTGGTGGGTCCGTCGTCCTTCTCGGGACTGCTCATGGGAGGCGAAGCAAAGCCTGTAGAAGGCGACCTTCCCTTGCTGCTTGTTGGTCTTGTCGACGAAGTCAGAGTGACGGGTGACATTGGTGCTCTCGCAGGCATGCGCATGGCAGGCATACGAGCAGCTGATCCAGCATTGCTCTTCGGGCTGCCGAGACCAGTCTCGGCATCTTCCGATTCCTCACCTGGCGATGTGAGGTCTTCAAGCGACATCTTCTCCTTGGCGTCACTGACAATGTCACTGAGGTTGCCGGTGAAGTTTCTGCTCTGCATGAGTCGCGAAAGGAAGGGGGTGTCAGCCGAGGCGACGAAGTTTCCAGCCTTTGGCGCAGCGGACCTCGCAGGCTCTGCCTTTGAAGTACTTTGAGGGATGCTTGTAACGCCAGGCAGCTTGCCATCACGATACAACTTGAGGGAATCTGCGATCCTAGAACGCAAAGCAACGTACGCCTGTTGGGTAGACATGTCGGTCTGGGCAAAAGGATGGACAAGACCAGACGCGATGGCGGTTGATGGGGGAGGCGGAGCCTTTTCCTCTCCAACGAGACTGCCGCCTTCGTTAACCTCGATGGGGTGACCGCAATGAACAGCCGCCTCTTCGTGGCTCTTGAAGTCTCGCCTATGGGCGATGCGGCAGTGGTTGATGAAGCCCTGAGTGCTGCTGAAGTTCTCCCGATTGCAATCCAAGCAGACGAGCTTCACAGTCTGGCCGTCGGAGCGCTTGAGAACACAAGGCCCGGCCTTCTCCTTTGGCTGAGGGTAGCCGCTGGAGAGAGACTGCAGCTTCTGGCTGCCAATACCCCGAGTCGAGCGGTTCTTGTTTGCGCTGGCGAGATCAGACATGCTGTTCCTTGTCGTTCGTCCCTCAACTGAGCTTCTGCTACGGGCAGTCTCAAGCACTGGGTACCACTCAGGTTGCATGCCATCAAACTTGGGATCGGGGATGAGCCACTTGGCGTAGTGTCGAGCGTAAGGTCCATCGACAACTCCAAAAGGCGCAGCCCATTGGGGGACAGGCTCTCCCGGACGGTTTTGCAGAGCTGGACCCTTTCCGTTGCTGATATCCAACATCTGCGCAGGAGTGGGACAGGCAGTAGGATACGGAATGAGATGGCAGCGACGGAGTTGCTCGAGAGCAACCTGACATTTTGCCAGTTCTTGGTTGATTAGCCTCAGCTCATTGTGCTTGAGCAAGATCTCAAGACCAAATTGGTACTGGATAGCGTCGCGCGCGTCCTCCATGTCGTTAGTCACTGCTGGAACAGCGGCAGGCACAGGCACAGGCAAAGACGCGGATGCTGGTACGTCAGAGACGACACTGGAAGGGATGTCAGAGACGGCGAGGTTGGTGCTCTCCAGCTTGGCCCGCTTCAAGGGCTGCTCAGTGGCGATGAGTGCATCTGGTGAAGGTGAGTCGTCAACGCTTGACAGACGCCTCTTTTGAGGGCACGACGGGCCCGCCAGTGATGCCGTTTGCGCAGGTTGCGGCAGAATGAACTGATGCTTTTGCGCGAATGATGGCATAGGTTGAATGTGACTGATCGTCGTTTCGCTTCCCCGCTCGCTGCTCCAGAGTGATCGGAACATAAGCGCGGTTCTCTGAGAGCAACGAAGGTGATGGGATGAAAGGTCGCGTTGAGGGCGGCCTGACGACTTTATGCGAACGTGAGATGAGGCGCGAGGCAACAGCCTGACGAAGGTGCAATGTGGCAGTGGCGGACGGACCAGGCACCTGCAGCGTGCGACGTGGTGCTGATGCAGGCAGAGGAGCCAAAAAGCTGAGGTGCGTGCAATGAGCTTGCGAGCTGGCGACGAGGGCTGACGTAAACAGTGGATTCCCCAGACGGACGAGTCGGGTGTAAGCGTGTGGCTGCTCTGGGCGTGGGTGAAGACGAGGCGACGGGTGTGTGGTGCGTTGGTTGGCCTTGGATGATGGGGCCCGAAAAGGGGTGGCAGGGGGGGGGGGGGGCGAGTGGTGCGTGATGATGTGGTCGGGCGTCCGGTCAGGAAGGCCAGAGGCAAGAGAGAGAGCCGGAGACCGAAGCAGACGAGTCGGCGACAAAGGGATGGGATTGCGACGGTCGCGCAGCGAAGACAGCGACGCAGAAGAATCGAGAACTAACGAAAGCCTCGATATCGCGCGAGAGAATGGTGCGAAAATGAATGCGCGAAGAGAGTTGGGCGAGCAAAATAAAAGAAGCGACGCCTACGATGGTTCTCTATGTCGTGTGGACGAGTGGTTTTGGAGCGGTTTTGGGGGGAGAAGTGGTTGTTTGTGAGGAGGTTGAAATGTTGTAGATGGGGATGACAGCGGAAAGAGCGAGAATAACTGTCAGAGGTCGGGGAAGGAGGCAGCTTCAGACCTCTCAGGCGGGCGACGTGCGTGAGCTTGGTGGGAAATTGGCCTCTGGGGTGGTGATTGCGAGTGCGGGTGGGCCTTGGATCCTGGGGGCCAGAGAGAGAGACACACACAGAGAGTAAGGTATCCGTACGGTAAGTAAGGTAGCAAAAGCAGCCAGCCAACGAAATGGTACCGGTAAATAGTGTGAAAAGGAGATGGGCCGTGAGTTGAGCGAATTGGAAGTGTTCCTCTGCGGGTGGTTCTGTTTCTCGTTCGCTGATTGTCGATGGCGCAGCGGCGGTGCGGTAAAGGTCTCCGTAGGCGGCGGCGCAAGCAAGCATGTAGCAGTATGCCAGTATCTCCTTAGCAGACAATAGCAACAAGAGAAAGGTGGACGGGGCGAGGTGGATGCACAGAAAGCTGAGGTGGATGTTTTGGCGCTTTGCGCTTGTGCTTTGTTGGTGTTGGAACTTGGCGATGATGCGAGGGACCCGACTGACTAGGAAAAGGCAATTTGTGTATTGAATGCAAGGGGAGGCATAAAAAGGGGTGTGTGTGAAAAGAAAGAGAGATGGGTGTGAGAGGTACGAGGTGTGTGGGTGGTGTGGATGAGGATTGTGCTCTGAAACGCGATGCTGATTGGGTTGTTTGCAAGAAAGAAGGAGGGAACGAGGGAATGCGCTTGTTTGGTGAGTTTGGTGACTGGCTGGTCTGACCCAGGTGTGGGGGCAACTGGAGACGGGAGGTACATACAGACAACCGGACCAAAAAAAAGAAAAAAGGAATGGAAGGCGAAGGGAAACTCAAGGAAGGAGGTGTGCAGCTGCAGGGATAATGTGCAATACGACGGGGACACTGAGCAGGGAAGGAACGGAGGTGCCCTTTTCCCAGGTTCCTTCCTTACCCAGACTTGGTACTTTCTATACGGAGCACCTCGTGCTGTGTACTTGCCTACTTACTCTTGTTTTGTGGTAGGACTCAGGAGAGCAAGACCCAATCTTCGACACAACCTAAATGACACCCGGACGGTTCGGCCGTCAGAAAGGGATGCAGTAAGAGTCAGTCCTACACATTCTACTCTCCAACAAAGTGGTATTCCCTCACGTCTCTCTGTCAGCCTGACTCCTGAGAGAGAGTGTGTGTGCCAGATGCAAGTCCTGACGCAGACGACAATAAAAACGGGCGACCAACAAGACAGCGGCAGGAGCAGCGGCAGCGGCAGCGGCAGCGGCATGCGCACTGAACTCCAAAGCTGTCAAAGAGAACGAGGACAGACTGGTTAGAGAACGATGCGCTCAGAGGATAATGCTGTCCCCGAGTCCCTGAGAGTTGAGAGATGGGACGTCAGTTCCTCATAAGTCCCGTCTTCGTCTGTGTCTGTGTTTGGCCTCGTCTTCCACCTTCTTTCCAGAATCCAGAAAAATTCAGCCTGGCAAACTGGGTGCCAACTCCCGTATTCTGTATGGCGGATGGGAATCTGATGGGACGATGAGACGGACGGGGGGCCCTTCCGAGCTTCTGTCTCTTACAACTCGTAGGCAGTAGCCGGGTTCTTTCTGGCGTCGCTGCAATACGTGTTTCGCCGCCCCGAAAATAGAACGGGATTGATCATGGTGGGCGCGTCCAACAACACTGCAACTCAACTGTACCGGGTAATCTAGGTAAGGGCACAGCTATTGTGGAGGTTCATTAAAGGGATCCCCCTTTTTCGCGATAATCAAGAATCTGACAGGCTGAACGGAGTAGAGCATATAGGGGGAAGATAAAGAGGGTGAAGGCAACGCCGATGCAACTTCGTATGTGCAGCGCAGTCTCGGGGCTGTCTATCACCACTGGCCTAGTTGCTATCTATCACGCCCAGGATCCAAATTGCACGTCTCTCTTGCAAGTTGCCGATCCAACTGATTATCGTGTTTTGTTTGTAAAGGTTTCGACATGTGTCTTATCCAGCCCGCCTGCAGATTGATTAAGTAGCACCCAGGCACGGCACTACGGATAGGTACATGGACCAAGGTTCCTTAGTGAGGAGAAGAAGACGGGGAAAGCTCATGGCGTGTGTCCCGACTTGTTTTGGTTCCGTGCGAGAAACGCCTCAGCCATGTACCTTGGGGCGTGAGACGGCCGCTGCACGAGCTAAAAGTACCTGGAGGCGTGGGAATGTTCCCACTCCACAAACCTTCGGGTTCGGGCCTCTCATTTTTCTCTCCTCCCATTGCGCCAGCCGCCGTATGTTGGATGCCTCTCCCCATACCAACATACCTTTCTCTGGCCGATAAGTTCCTCAAACAAAACACGGCGCGGGGTTGGACATGATCTCGGAAGCTGCCAGATTGTGCATACTGGCTGTCAACTCAATGAAATGTGTATTGACGGATGGGACGAGGAATTCAAGGCATAGCATCGCCTGTGTCTGTTCAAATGAGTCAACATCCGCCCCTCACTGCTTGACGAATGCAAATATTCAACGACGCATCTCATTAGTTCACTGTCGTCGTTGTCGAGCACGCCGCCGCGCTCTCTTCTCCACGTACCTAGCGGCAGTCTCGGATCTTATTCGTCTGGATCGTAGCTTCGCCATTCCGGCCGGCCTACCAAGAAGCTGCGCCTAGCGTCCACGGCGACGACGACGACGACTCCATTACGCCCCTTTCCGAATGGCATCGTGGATGCGGACTAGACTTCTACCGGTAGCAAGCGACCCCAAGCTATGGGAGGCCGCGGGCGAGACCGCAGCAACACAACGTGGGATGACATGAGGAAATGGACCCTGAGAAACAAGGTAACGCCTTGCGGCGACCGTGTATCGCATCTTCTTGTGTTCCGCTTACCTTGCTGTCTTTTTTCTGTCGCCTCATCATCGAAAGCTTCATGCACCATCGAAGCACCTTGATTGCTTGTCGCCCTCTCAAGCCTCGCATCCATGCGTCTTCTAGAGCCCTACTCTGTGGCCTTGACGACGGCCAGCTTCACACAATGATGGAGGGGGATGGGTGTGTGCGACATGCAGATAGACATGGGATCGCCGCTGGAAATACGCCACGCCACCCGGTGCTGCCCAGCTCGCCTTTCGCCCGTTCTGGTTTCAGATACCTGAGCACCGCTAGCGAGGTACCAGCCAGGCCGGGATCTCCAGAATTTCACCAGCAATATTGCGACTGAGGAGCTGGAATAAGCCAATGAAGCAGCGTTGTCTTGCGACGATACCCAACGGTAACGATGCCGAGTCGCCCCGACTCAGCGGCCAAGGTCAGAACCGCATAAGTTCCTCTTTAACCCCGGGCCTCCCTACCCTTTCACGGCATCTACGACGTTTCTCCAGGCCTTATCCCGGGATTCCCAAGAGCGCTCCCTGGCGAAAATGGATTAATACCGCTGCAGGTCGTGCAGCTCGGCCTGAACGGTGCCACGCTGCACCTCGGAAGCTTGGAAAATCTTGGGGAGAACTATCGCAGACCACTTTGGGAGCTGCTAGATGACGAAATGTCGCAAAGCTCATGATTCAGTAAACCTACGGACCTTTCTGGCTCGACCTTCCATCCGAGATGCCAAGCAAGCTTTTGGCAGTCCACCAGCATCTGACTGAAGATAGCTCTGGTGGACATATGGTGACCATTTTGATATTCGCTTTGTTCAAGCCTACGAGATGCTGCAACCAGAACAGGGCGCAACACGGCGCACTTTCATTCATCGAATCAAAAGAATGGCGTCCTTGGAGAAGAGGCGGATCAGCTGCACAGGCCACGCCAAACATGTGAAGTCGAGAAGCCACAGAAGGACCATCGGCGCATGGGCGCCCTGACCAGTGGACCCTTCCATCTTCCGCGGAACGCTAGGCCAGGTCCGGCATTGAGCGAGAGCTCGTGTCTGATCATCGCTGCTTTAAACATTCTTCGATGTTGAACGCTTAGTCACTTCATTACGGCATCCTATCTTGAAAGCACTTTGCCTTGCTCCCGAGGCTCAGGATATCGTCGTGGTACTTTCGAAAGCTTATGATTAGTCTGGCACATCACATAGTGGTTTCAATAACGATACAACATGGTAATCATCATGCGTTACATTGCCTTAGAGCAAGCGTTTGACGAATGCTATGAACATCAAAGACGCCATCCAATCAGAAGCTCTTGGTCCAAGACTGGACGTCGCGGCTCTCTGCCCTCTCGGCTCCGAAAGCTGGTCCAAGCGTCTGATGCAATTCGATAAGATCTCTATCGATAAGGTAGAGATCCAGACCACACTTTTTTGCCGATAGAAATCCTAACGCCTGTCTTGGAGCTTCAATCTCAACCCCAGACTCAGACCCCGCGCGGCGCATCACACCCTTGAGTCATTGAGCAGCCGCGTCTGCTATGGTTCGAGGTCTCATTAAGGCTGACCATGGCTGAACCCTCCGCGACACAGCCCAAGGGCGACGACAAGAAGCGAAAATCATCAACGGTAGCAGCCGGCTCGTCCGCCGCAGTCGTCTCAAAGAAGAGCAAAGCAACGGAGACAATGACGAAGACAACGACGAAGACAACGACGACAAACACAAGCGCAAGCGCGAGCTCGAGCGCAAACGTCAATGGTCCGACGACCCCTCTATCCCCCTCGCACGAAGCCCTCCTCGCGGACCTCAGATCCAAATACGACGTCCTCCCCGCCTTCACCATCTCCTCCACCAAGATCCAGAAGCGCGTGACCTGGCTGCTGCAGCACCTGCGCAAAGACGACGGCGATCCGAGGAGGCGCGTCGTGCTCGTCTACGCGCGGCCGGGCGAGGTCGCCAAGATGATTTCGATTGTGGAGACTGTGAAGCGCATCGCTGCGGCGGAGAAGAAGAGCGTGGACGGAAAGGACGGGGAAGAGAGCGGCGGCAAGTGGTATCAGTACAACCTCATGTACGAGCTGCCGCCGAAACCTGATGTCGTGGAAGATACGGTGCTAGGCGGCGGCGGCGGAACGCAGGATGGCTCGGATGATGAGGACAGAGACGAAGACGATTTCGAGGTTATGAAGACCCGGTTCGAGAGAGCTGTGTTGCCGCAGCCGGTGAAGCGTGCGGCCAAGTCGCTGAGCATATTCCTTTCGTTGACGCCCGTGCCGGAACTCAAGGCCCGAGGGGATGTTACGACGCAGACGAACACGGCGCAGTGAGATGCCACTGCGAGCTCGACTGCGCTCTGGCTTGGGAACTTGGAACAAGGTCGTTTGAGGGTAGAGGTTGGATTCGAGTCCGTGAGCTGCGATCCCGGAGAATGGAGACGGGAGGAGAAACAAAAGACAAAGAGATCTCCGAGGAATGGAGTCGCGACATGTCGCTTGTAACGGCATCCAGCATTGGCATTACATCGAGAGGCGTTATAGGAAAGGAGGGGCTGCCATTTGATACCCAAAACGGGCGGGATAAAGTCGATATCAAAAAGCTTTCGAACCCGCTGGAAACGTGAGATGAATAGACAGCAAGGGGAAGAAGAGACGTGGAACCAATAAGGCAACTTCCCTCATACTCAAACATTTATGCGTGAGCCGTATCCATCTGATGATGACATGTATGGGTAAGCAGGTTCCAGCACAAGAGCGCAGTGTAGATGTGTAAAGTATGTTTCCGACGCCTAATCCGATGCATTCGCTTTTCCTATCAACTATACACCTTCCACATCCGCTTTCTGTTCGCGTACGCCTAAGCTATACATAGGAAAACTGCCAAATTACAAAACCATGCAAACTTGTTCTTAAAACAACAAATCCTTCGCTCCCAACTCTCAATCCTTCCTCGTACATACGCCTTTGTCGTAGCTTGAGCATTTTAGCAAAAGCCCGCCTCTCCTGGTTCGCAAGGCCCAAACTACCCACGCCTAGGCATAGCTTTTGTTTCCCGCCCCTCCTCTTTCCAAATTTGTCTTCGGGATTACGAACAGAGGCTGGGATTAGAAAGCATGTTTGCTCGTACCTTTTAGTGCTTTCCCTCCTTGGACGAGTACGTTATGCGCAGGACAAAGTTGACAACGACGGCCAGCAGTAGGATGATGGCCAAGAAGGTGGGGCCAAAGCGGTCGTCAAAGCCGGCCTGGCCGCGGACGCGGATGGATTTCGCACGCCAGTGGTACGTGGCTAGGGCGTAGATCATGGTGAGCATGGCAACGCCAGTGAAGAGGAAGGCGCTGATAAAGGCCGGGCGGTCGCCGAAGTTGAGCATGCCGATGGCGAGGGCGCCGAGAATGACGGTGAAGTTGAGCCATGAGAGAAAGGTGCGCTCGTTGGCGAAGAAGACCTTGGGCTCGACTCTCGTAGGGAGGGCGATGCGCTTGCCTGGTAATGCGACCTTGTTAGTGACCTCTCACTTTCTCTTGTTTATGTCCTTATTCGGGCACTGATGTGTACGGCGTCGTGGTTGTACGTACCCGGTGCGGTCTGGAGAAGAGGTTGGCTAGACATTGTGATTTGCTATTTCTGACTGGACTGTCCCGAGTATAGGTATCGTGGTTTGCGGTCGTGGCTTTCTCTATCGCAACCTGGACTGGTTCAGTCGGCGGTCTTTCGTCTTCTCGCTCGGTGTGCCCAATTCCTACCCTTAGTCTACTGTTTACTGTCTCGGCAAAGATGACCAGAATCCTGGAGGAGAATGGCAATGCGACGTCAGAGAATTGCGATTGAGGCGTCGTTGGAGAGCTCGGGCTCGCGTCGGGCTAGTCGTCGGAACCGCAACGGTGTTTATCGTGACAAGGGGGCAGTGGATGCGAGTCGCGCGATGTCAACTGCTTTCTCTTCTACAGTCTCGCTATTTTTCGTCTGAACAATCGGAAAAAACTCTATCAGGGATATGAACAAAAAGACTGCGGAGATGGAGGTGAGGGAGAGAAGGGAGGAAAGAGAGGAGGAGAAGAGAGAACGAGAGAATCTGTAACCGAGAGAACCCGCTTGAAAGCTTGTTCAGATACGACAGACGATGCACCTGCACTGCGGCCGACTAGCCCCTCAAAAGCCGCTTCCTCAAGGAAAAAAGCTCCATCGCAGAGCAGACTTGTGACGCTAAGCCTGCACGGCGTGCACGGCGTGCACGGCTAGAGCTTACCTCCCCACCAGCCACAGTACAGATCCATGTCAATCGCCTGCAAACTTCTGCAGCAAGGTACACGTGCAATCCAATCGCATTTTGATTGGGGAAGCCACACTTGAAGAGGTCAAGCCTCAGCTGGGGCCATGTAGTTGTGGCTAGGGAGAGACCTCTCGATGACAGAGACACGTGACCTTTCGTTGCCCCGCGCACCTGGGGAGCACGGCCCGTGGATGCAACGCGAGGCGGCCGAATCGGGCTGGCATCACAACACCGGTAACTTTTTGTGGAGGAGCCTCATCTCTGTCGTCTTGTCCCGATCTGTCAACACAACCTCTTCACAACTTACATACACTCAAAATATTGGCACAAGTGCTCAAGAACACTCTCACACCTCCTACTCCCAAGAACCTCATACATAACGAAACCAGCAAGCGCACAGAGCCTTCGAACAACCTACAATCTTTCTTCCCCTTTCCCAAACAAAACATCCGATCACAATGTCTGCGCCCGCCGCCCCTACGACAGCGACTCCCGTATGTTGAACTTTCCCCCACGCTAAGATCTCAATGGACCGCCTACTGACTCGATCTTGACAGCCCGTCGCCTTCAACCGTCTTAAGCAGATTGCTACGGATGTAAGCTGCCCATGCGACAACATCGTCAATGTAGCCAAAACATTAGGAGACAACCCACTAACCCAGTCTCGTTGACAGGCTTGCCAATCAGCCATCGGCTCTGCTGAGTTCTACGATCACGCTAAGACCGAGACATGGAACTCTCAGATCATTGTACGTTTTCCTCCCTGCGCCTGATGCCGCTGCTGTTACCCAGAGATTCCATGAACTAACCCTCATGAACCTCGTCAGTCCTCCGTTCTGAAGGCCGTCATCTCTGAGTCGACACCCCAAGGCGGCTCCGCACCCGCATACAAGTTTGCCTGCAACTCGACAATCGTCCAGCACCTCGTTCCGACATCCTCCCTCAACAAGTCCAAGGGCACCTCCGTTAAGGAGGAGGAGCCCTCCGTCTCCACGAGCGCCGATGCGACCGCCACTGACGGCAAGCCCCACGTCGGCCGCCGCGGTATGCACTCCGCCACCGGCGCCTACTGGGACGAGAAGAAGGACGGCATGTGGTCCTACAAGTATGATGGCGGCGAGGGCAAGGGCATGGATGTCGTGATCATGCTCATCTGGGTCGCAATCTAAACGATGGTGACAGCAAGGCTCGGTACTCGAGGACATGAACAGGGGGAGGCGGTTGACCCAGCGTGCTCAGGTCTGCGTCCACTCTCATCCTCGTTTACGTTTCCAAAATTCCAAACCACATGGGCGCATTCGCAAGAACGGAAGCCTTACGGAAACTGGGTCGGCGCGTGGGAACGCCCTGAAAGGGGGCACAACCAGAGCAGCCTGACGAGCAAGACGCATTGGCATCATCCCCCTAGATAAGTGTCCAGCTTCAAAAAGGATGGAGTTCACTTTCTTGGTCCGAATTTACCTTAGTCAAGCAGGCATATACGGCGAACGGGGTTGGGCAAGGTCTATTCATGTGTTTGAGTTGCTTTTGTCTCCAAACCACGGAAAATAGCCGGAGTTCTTTTTTTTTTCTTCTAATGAGAATACATGCAAATCACGAGACTCGTTGCGCCCCAGGCTTGTACCAGATGACAATAGCTTTGTTTATATGTTTGTTGAGTTCGTTGTCAGGTGGTACAGCAGTGCATTACACAACACAAGGTCGCATCCTTGCAATTCGAAGTGTCATTATTATGCATCTCTTAGCCTTCTCCCGGCGCCTATAAGATCTGAGCCATGCCAGTATTGCAACCATTGTGTGACGTGTGGCAGGCGGCTTGGGTACAGCTACCACCAGCATAAGAACGGCAGACTCAAGGAACTCGACAATCTGTGAATATATCTGTGAATGTATCCGGTGTGGGAATCAAGGACTTCAAGGTCTGTGGACAAAACGGATCAATGTCGCCCTCTACGAGTAAAGTCATTACATAGCATTCACACACACTTGATAGGACTTGTCGGTAGAGCTGAAGCTACGGGTTCAGTTATCGATGGCAGCTCATAAGGTAGAAGAGACACGGGCCTCCTTTCACGATGACATACTGCTCAAGCCGCGCCAACGTCCAGGCTCTCCAACCTGAGAAAAGAAACGCGATCGGACCCTAATGATTTTTTATTCTTTTCGATGTGTCTACCTAAGGTACACGAACATCCGAACCTGCTTGCCAGTCGGGCACGTTAATGAACGAGGTTCAGTCTTTCCTCTTCCTCTCTTAACCTTTTCTTCGCCTCCCGGCGGAAGCGTGAGCAAACTTTTCGGTTCCGGTAGACATGAACAAATCTAGGCCAGCGTGCATGGCCGTGCACCTTCTATGAAAAGCTTGTTGTCGACGAAGGAGGGTTGCAGCACGAAGAAAAGAAGATTCTCATGGTTACACAAGCACGCGAGTCGGGAATAACCCCCCTCGGAGATTGTTGGGATGGACGAATCCTCAGAAGACGTTGCCGTACACCCTCTCCGGCGTGAACGAGCCTGCTCCGGTAGCGGAGATGGTTATAAACCACGAGAGAGAGAAAAAAAACTAGTTATCTCGGGTTTTGGGTGTGAAGGCAGTACACACATAGCGTCGCCTCGACAGATAGGCAGGTGATAGAGACAAATTCTTTGATTCACGTCAATTCACAGGAGCTTCCCGGCTGTGCCGCTGTCTTGCTTTTGGCATACGCAAGTTGGAGTGCGGCGTAGTTTCCAACTCCATCATTTCTTGACGCGGTTCGAGCTGTTGCTTGAAAACTTGCGGCTAGTAGAACGAGCAGGTGGGCGGCAAGAAGTCAGATCATGCCCGACTGACAGCTCTGCCCTGGAGTATACTTTGACGGCAGCACACACATGTAAGCCGGCTGCCCTGGCCTGATCGGTGAGCGCCGACGGCGGGAGCGGGCGCGGGAGGGGTCCGTGGGGGACGGAAGCTCTATAGAAAGATGTAATTACCACACCGGATGCGTGAGCAGGATGGTGTGTTTGTTTGCTGTAGTGTAAGTAACTTAAGCTAGGCAGACTGGCGAATTCTCTTGTG